TTGCCTTGCATGCCTGAGGCCCTGGGTTCGATTCCTCAGCACCACATAAGCAAAAAGAAAAAAAGCCGGAAGTGGCTCTGTGGCTCAAGTGGTAAAGCGTTAGTCTTGAGCTGAAGAGCTGAGGGACAGCGCCCAGGCCCAGAGTTTAGGCCCCACGACCGGACCCAAAAAAAAAACAAAAACCCAAAACAAACATTTTGTGTATGTAGGTGTAATTATTTTTTCCTTAAAGGTTTCTTTTTTTTTTGGTTGGTCATGGGGCCTGAACTCTGGGCCTGGGCTCTGTCCCTCAGCTGTTCAGCTCAAGGCTAGCACTCTACCACTTGACTCACAGTGCCACTTCCGGCCTTTTCTACTTATGTGGTGCTGTGGAATCAAACCCAGGGTCTCATGCATGCAAGGCAAGCGCTCTACCACTGAGCCACCTTCCCAGCCCTGGTTTCTTGTTTTAATATTACTTAATTCCTTCTATAAAATTATATATATATATAATACATACAATATAATCATTATATTATATATAAGTATATATAATTAGGTCATTACATAATTATGTCATATAATTTTATAGTCTGTGCTACAATTTATATAATAACATAATTATGTAGGATATCCATATCTGTGTTTCATCTAGACTTCTGTGGTTTCTTTTCTTTTCCTCTTTTTTGGTATGATAATGGGGTTTGACTCAGGGACTTATACTTTCTAGGCAGGTACTCTACTACTTAAGCCTGAGCCACGTCCCTACCCACTTTGATTTTTTTTTTTTGTTAATCATGGGGCTTGAACTCTGGACCTGAGTACTGTCCCTGAGCTCTTCAGCTCAAGGTGAGTGCTCTTACCACTTGAGCCACAGCACCATTTCCAGTTTTCTGGTGGTTAATTGGAGATAAGAGTCTCATGGAATTTTCTGCCCAAGCTGGCTTTGAACCACGATCCTCTGATCTCAGCCTCCTGAATAGCTAGGATTATAAGCATGAGCCACCTGCACTTGGCTATGATTGATTGTTTTTTTTTTTTTTGGTGCATGTACTGGGGCTTGAATTTAAGAATCTGAGTTGTAGCCGGGCACTGGTGGCTCACACCTGTAATCCTAGCTATTCAGGAGGCTGAGATCTGAGGATCTCGGTTCAAAGCCAGCCCGGGCAAGAAAGTCCGTGAGACTCTTATCGCCAATAAACCACTCGAAAACCAGAAGTGGCACTGTGACTCAGGTGGAAGAGCGCTCACCTTGAGCTGAAGAGCTGAGGGATAGCGCCCAAGCCCAGAGTTCAAGCCCGATGACTTACCAAAAAAAAAAAAAAAAAGTTTGAGCTCTGTTCCTTAGCTTCTTCACTCAAGGCTGGCACTCTGCCACACGAGTCACAGTGTCATTTCTGGCTTTTTGGTGGTTAACTGGAGATAGGAGTAGGAGTATCAAGACTTTCCTACCTAGACTGGCTTTGAACTGCATTCCTCAGATTTCAGCCTCTTGAGTATCTGGAATTATAGGCATGAACCATCAGCATAAAGGCTTGTAAGGGTGTGGAAACTCCAAGCCCAAGTGTGCCTGGCAGGGGCCTGAGTCTGTCTGCTGCTGCTCTGAAGATGGCAGGCAGCACTAGTACCAGGAAGGGCCCATCAGGCAAGCTTACATGGTCATCCTGTAGATTTTCAGGCATATCCTGCAACGGGAGTTTTCAGGACTCTGCCAGCCCCTGTCCCGGAAGTTCACTGAGTGGTGCTATGGACCTGTGCGGGTGTCGCTGTATGACCTGGCCTCTGTGGACAGCTGGGAAGAAAACTCAGTGCTGGAGATCATTGCCTTTCATTGTAGGAGTCCGGTGAGTCCAAGGGGGGTTGGGTGTGCCTGAAGATCCTTGAAGAACACCTGGCAAAATGGGTCAGGACACTGATCACACCTGACCCCCCCTTGTGCCAGTGGAGGTGTGGCCACAAATCCTGGAGGGCATGACCCTGACCCTGGCCACTAAGCCGATACTTATATTACACTCAAGTCCCACCCCCATGGGGATCATGCCAAGGTCCCTGTGGTGACAAATGATGCCTCTCTGAGGATGTACCTGCTCTGCAATGGCGGCGAGGCCCTCAGTCACACTATGGATAAGAGGGTTGGTCAAGAGGTGGGGAGGGACCAGCTGGGGCTCCTGGGGTATAGAAGTCTACTTCATTGTTCTTGGCCCTTGCATGGAGTTTGGCATAAAGTGAATGCCCATCTCTACTTGCTCTCAATACGCTGTCTACATCGATGCCTTGTCTCTCTCCTCTCAACCCTAGCACCGACACCGTATGGTGGTTTTGGAGCCACTGAACAAATTGTTGCAGGCCAAATGGGATCTGCTCATCCCCAGGTTCTTCCTCAACTTCCTGTGTTATCTTGTCTACATGCTTATCTTCACCATCGTTGCCTACCACCAGCCTGCCCTGGATAAGGTGAGAGCTCGGAAGAGGCCTTCCTAGGGGCAGGCCTGCTAGAAAGAACTCTGGAGGATGTGGGGAAAGAGAATGGATGCCACCCCCTTTCTACAAAAGATCACAGGGAGGCAGAGGCGGCTTGAGTGGTGTGCCTGAGTTGTTTTTTCTTTTTTTTTGGTCGGTCGTGGGGTTTAAACTCTAGGCTTGGGTGCTGTCCCTGCACTCTTCAGCTCAAGGCGAGTGCTCTATTGCTTGTGCCACAGCGCCACTTCCAGTTTTCTAGTGGTTTATTGGAGATAAGAGTGTCATGGACTTCCCTACCCCGGCTGGCTTTGAACCGTGATTCTCAGATCTCAGCCTCCTGAGTAGCTAGGATTACAGGTGCCCAGCAGAGTTGTTTATTCTTTCTTTTTTTTTTGGGGGGGGCATCCGGTCGTGGGGCCTGAACTCTGGGCCTGGGCACTGTCCCTCAGCTCTTCAGCTCAAGGCTAGTGCTCTACCACTTGAGCCACAGCGCCACTTCCGGCTTTTTTTCTTTTTGCTTATGTGGTACTGAGGAATCGAACCCAGGGCCTTGAGCATGCAAGGCAAGCGCTCTACCACTGAGCCACCTTCCCAGCCCGAGCTATTCAGCTTTTAGGATTCCTGAGCCCCCCACTGGGTATGGTGGTGAATGCCAGCTACTCAGGACACTAAGGCAGAAGGATGCCAGGTTCAAGGCCAGCCTGGATAAAATAATGAGATGCTCCATCTCAAAAATAAAGCTACCACCTTAACCTCAAAGGTGGTGCTGGTAGAGAACTAGACTAAAGGTCTGGTAGGCAGCCCAGCTATTCTTTTTTTATTTTTGTCAGTTGTGGGCCTGAACTCTGGGCCTGGGCGCTGTCCCTCAGCTCTTCAGCTCAAGGCTAGCGCTCTACCACTTGAGCCACAGCACCACTTCTGGTTCTCTGAGTGGTTTATTGGAGATAAGTCTCACGGACTTTCCTGTCTGGGCTGGCTTTGAATCATGATACTCAGATCTCAGCCTCCTGAATAGCTATGATTTCAGGCATGAGCCACTGGTGCCCGGCTCAGCCCAGCTATTCTTGTGTCTGGAGAGCAAGTTGTTGTTGGCAGTCATGGGGCTTAAACTCTGCCTGGGCTCTGTCCCTGAGCTCTTTTGCTCACGGATAGTGCTCTGCCACTTCGAGCTACAGCTTCACTTCTGGTTTTCTGGTGATTAATTGGAGATAGTCTCACAGACTTTTCTGCCTGGGTTGGCTCTGAACCCGGATCCTCAGATCTCAGTTTCCTGAGTAGCTGGGATTACAGGCATGAGCCACCAGCACCCGGCAGGAGAGCACATTTTACCTCCCTCTGTCCTCCTCCTCCACAGACGTGGTACTTCTGGCGCCGCCGCCTGTTCATCTGGATCTCGTTCATGGACAGCTACTTTGAAATCCTCTTGTACGTGGGTCTCTCACTCCTCATCCCCTGCTGTCTCTGAGGCCTGGGAGTGGCAGAGGACAGCAGGCTGATTTTAGAAGCAAGGACATGGGGGCCCAAGGCATTACAGGAGGTTAGGACTTGGGTGCAGGTCAGACTTGGGAGTCCTGGCTACCATTCTAGTCAGGGATCCTTTGTACTCCCATGCTTGTAGATTGCGATAAGCTCACTACACTTCCAGGGAGGCCTGAACTTTCCATGTAGTATCACACTTAATCATTATTCTTCCTGAGTTTACAAGCGAGACAGCTGGGGCCATAGGCACTAAATAATGTGCCCAAGATGGAGAGCTAGCTCTGATTGGCTCCGGTCCCAGACAGATGGAAGGGACCTCAAACCACCAGACTGTGGTGGGAGAGGCAGTAGTGGTTAGCTGGGCAGCAAGAATTGGGGGACATTACCAGATGGCTGGGGAGTTGACTGAGTCTCTGTGTCCATGCAGCCTGGTCCAGGCCCTGCTCACCGTGCTGTCGCAGGTTCTGTGTTTCGTGAACAATGAGTGGTACCTGCCCCTGCTTGTGTCCTCCCTGGTGCTGGGCTGGCTGAACCTCCTTTACTATACACGAGGCTTCCAGCACACAGGCATCTACAGTGTCATGATCCAGAAGGTGAGAGATGGGGTAGCCTGGTGGGGAAATAGAATCTGAGGGCAGCCAAACGAGGCAGTAGTGACAACCACAACTCAGAAGGACAATTTTCGCTTCAGAAGACAGGCACCTTCTCTGCAGCTGATATGGAGGGCATAAAACACATACCTGTATCATTCACCCAAACACTTACCAAATACTAGCTTAAGGACGGGCATGCATGTACCTGCTCTCCATCTATACATTTGTGCAGACCCATGCACATACACATGTTTCCAAGTGTCAACATGGGAACATGTATGTCTTCCTTCAGGAAGGAGCAGAGAAAACACATCTAGCTGTGTGCCTGTGCCTTGGGACAGAGGGCAATCTTCAAGTGTCTACATTCACTTATTTATTTCACAAATGTTAAGAGAGGGCCTATGATGGCCAGGCCTGGTTCTCAGTGTTGGGCATGAAACAGAAAAGTCCCTGCTCTCCTTAGGCTGACATTCCAGGGCAGGAATGGAAATGCCAAGGAAAAAAAAAACCCTAAGCCAGGCTGAGAATGTGGGTTAGTGGTAGAGTGCTTGCTTAGCATGCATGAAGCCCTGTCCATATAAACAGAAAAAGCCAGAAGTAGTACTGTGGTTCAAGTGGTAGAGTGCAAGCCTTGAGCAAAAAAGCTCAGGGATGGTGCTCAGGCCCTGAGTTCAAGCCCCAGGAGTGGCCAAAAAACAAAACAACAACAAAAAAAACACCTAAGCCAGGCACAGTAGCTCATACCTGTATCCTAGCTACTCAAGAGACTGACATCTGAGAATGGAGATTCGAAGACAGCCCAGGCAGAAAAGACTGTGAGACTCTTATCTCTAGCAGAAAGCTGGACACTCTAGTGATAGGGCCCATGCTGAGCCAGAAAGGCCCCAAGTTCAAGCCCCAGGACTGCCTCAAAGGAAACAACTCAGACTATCCTCAACCACAAAATTGTATGAATGAAAAAAAAAAAGTTGGTTTTTTGTCGGTTGTGGGGCTTGAACTCTGGGCCTGGGGGCTATCCCTCAGCTCTTCAGCTCAAGGTTAGCGCTCCACCACTTGAGCCAAAATACCACTTCTGGTTTTCTGAGTGGTTTATTGGAGAGAAGAGTCTCAAGGAGTTTCCTGCCCAGGCTGGCTTTGAACCGAGACCCTCAGATCTCAGCCTCCTGAGTAGCTGGGATTACAGGTGTGAGCCACCGATGCCCGGCTGTTGTTTTTTTTTAAAATATATGCAGGGCTGGGGATGGAACAAGGTCCTGGCAAGCCAGGTAATCAATCATCAATGAGCTGCACCTCCAGCCCATAAGTGGAAACCTGAAAGAATGGTTCACTCTATGGGAGGAGGAGGCAGCTGTAAAAGGGAAAAGGCTAATGAGCCAGACCAAGCTGAGACTGAGGCAGAGCAGGAGGCTAGGTGGCTGGAGAATGAGGCCAAATAAGGAGAGGGAGCTGGCTGCAGGTAGGGGTTGGGGAATGCTGTGGGGAGGGGTTTGGAAGCTTGCAGAAGTTTTGTTGTTCTTGTTGGTTTGTTTTTTTAAATTTTTCTCTGTGCGTGTGCTGATCCTAGGGCTTGAACTCAGGGCCTGGGCACTCTCCTTGAGCGTTTTTGCTCAAGGCTAGTGGTCTACCCATTGAGAAGCACCTTCTGTCTTTTTGGTGGTTAATTAGGTATTTTTTCTGCCTGGGCTGGCTTTAAACTTCAGTGCTCAGACCTCAGCCTTCTGAGTAGCTAGGATTACAGGCATGAGCCACTGGCTGCTGTCCTGAAAAGGTTTTTGTTTATTGTTTTTTTTTTGCCTTTTTTTTAAACTGTGGTAAAAATACAGCGCCACTTCTGGCTTTTTCTATTTATGTGGTACTGAGGAATTGAACCCAGGGCTTCATGCTAGGTAAGCACTCTACCACTAAGCCACATTCCCAGCCCCACTATTTTCTTTTTGGTGGTAGTGGGGTTTGAACTCAGAGCCTCATGTTTGCCAGAGTGACAACTCTACCGCTTGAGCCATACTTAGAGCTCTACTTAACAATTTAAGTGTACCATTGAAGGGTATTAAGTGCATTCATATTGTACAGCCATTATCACTGTCTACCTCCAACTCACTTTCATCTCCACCAACTGGAATTTGATGCCCATTATAGTGTTCAATAACATAATACCCATTCCTTTCTCCAACCCCTGGCAGCTACCACTTTGCATTCTGTTTTTATGATTTGCCTGTGGTTGTTATTTCACGTGAGTAGAATCATATCTTTGTCTGTGACTGGCTTATTTCACTTAGCACAGTGTGGCCAAGATTCACCCATGTTGTAGTGTGTCCAGATTGCCTTCCTTTTTAAGACTGAATAGTATTTGTGTATCCACTCTTTTGTTGATGGACACTTGCATTGCTTCCATAATGTGGCTATTATGAATAGTGCCAATGTATTCATGTTATGCAAACAGCTGTTCAGAATACTACTTCCAATTCTTTTTGGTTATATTTATACTCAGAAGTGGAATTACTAAGTCATATTTTAATTCTCCATTTAACTTTTTTGTGTGTGCCAGTCCTGGAGCTTGTAAGAACTCAGGGTCTGGGCACTGTCCATGAGCTTCTGCTGGTTAGCAGTCTACTACTTGAGCCACAGCGATACTTAAGGCTTTTCTTGTGGTTAATTAGAGTTAAGAGTCTTAAGGACAAGCCGGGCACTGGTGGCTCACACCTGTAATCCTAGCTACTCAGGAGGCTGAGATCTGAGGATCGCGGTTCAAAGCCAGCCCGGGCAGGAGAGACTGTGAGACTCCAATAAACCACCAGAAAACCGGAAGTGGCGCTGTAGCTCAAGTGGTAGAGCGCTCGCCTTGAGCTGAAGAGCTGAGGGACAGCGCCCAGGCCCAGAGTTCAAGCCCCACGACCCACAAAAAAAAAAAAAAAGAGTCTTAAGGACTTTATTCTAGCTGGCTTCAAAGTGCAATCCTCAGATCTCAGCCTTTTGAGTAGCTAGGATTATGGATGTAAGCCACTGCCACCTGGCTATATTTAATTTTTTGACCATTGAAGGTTTTAAGTAGGAGAATGTTATGATCTAAAAGTAGATATTTTTGGTGTGTGTATCTATTCTGGGGCTTGAACTCAGGGCCTAGGCTTTTTGCCCAAGGTTGGTGCTTTACCATTTGAGCCCCACCTCCACTTCTGGCTTTTTGCTGGATAATAGGAGATAAGAGAGATTCTCATGGATTTCCCCACCTGAACTCAATCCTCAAACCTCAGCCTCCTGAGTAACTAGGATGGCACGCATAAGCCACCAGTGCCCAGCTCAAAGACTCCTCTGTTCAGTGTGGCTTACAGGGCCCATGTATGCATTTACATGTGTGTACATGCATGTGAGTGGTGCACTATGCTCAGCCTCCCTCCTGAACTTGTGTTCTAGGTCATTCTCCGGGATTTGCTCCGTTTCCTGTTGGTCTACTTAGTTTTCCTTTTCGGCTTTGCTGTAGGTAAAGGCCCCTTGCCTATCCCCTACCCACCCTGCACCCCTTCAAAGCTTCCTGTTGGTCTCCCAGGCTGAACATCATCTTCCACCCTCCCATAGCCCTGGTGAGCCTGAGCCGGGAGGCCCAGATCACGGGAGTCCCTACAGGTGACAATGCCACAGAGGCGGCCCAGCTCAGCGCAGGACAAGAGAAGGAGGAAACCCCGTACAGGGGTATCCTGGATGCCTCACTGGAGCTCTTCAAGTTCACCATCGGCATGGGCGAGCTGGCCTTCCAGGAGCAGCTGCGCTTCCGTGGGGTGGTGCTGCTGCTGCTGCTGGCTTACGTGCTTCTCACCTACGTGCTGCTGCTCAACATGCTCATTGCTCTCATGAGCGAGACTGTCAACAGCGTGGCCACAGACAGCTGGAGCATCTGGAAGCTGCAGGTGCCCTGAGAGGCTCCCTTCCCTCACCCCATTCCAAGTTCCTTTTTTTTTTTTTTGGGTCCGGTCGTGGGGCTTGAACTCTGGGCCTGGGCGCTGTCCCTCAGCTCTTCAGCTCAAGGCTAGCGCTCTACCACTTGAGCCACAGCGCCACTTCCGGCTTTTTTCTTTTTTCTTATGTGGTGCTGAGGAATCGAACCCAGGGCCTCAGGCATGCAAGGCAAGCGCTCTACCACTGAGCCACCTTCCCAGACCCCCCCATTCCAAGTTCTGAGGCCACTGTGGCGTACTTGGGACCTTGCTTGAGCTGGGCCTACTGTGGGTGTGGGTGTGGGTCTCCAGGGCATAGCATCTAGTTGAGTGGGCTCAGTTCAGCAGTGTGAATCCCTAGCCCCCATCACCCCCCGGTCCTTCCTTCTTTCCTTCCTAGAGTTATGAGGACAGGATAAGCAGATTGGTATGGAGTGCTTAGGATAACACAGTAGATGCTCAATGTATGTTTCACTGTGACCACTAGCATCATTACTGTCAAGTATTATTATTGGTAGGGATGAGCACACTTCCAGGCACTCCATGCAGCAGAGAACAGGACAAAACCATTTCCCTCACAGAGCTTCCATTCTGTGTTCTTTGTATAGAAAATGGAGCCAATCTGGCAGGTAACAAAGTCAGGTGGTGATAGAAACACACTTACAGTGAGCAGATAGGTGGGTCTTAAGCCTTGCCCAGGAAGTTGGACTCTGCTGCTCAGTCACTGCTGTCCTGGGTCCAGTCCCTCATCTTCCATGGGGCCTCAGTGATTTCATCCACAAAGTTCTATGCTCCAGGTGCTCTGTGCTTGCATAGGTGCCAGTGGGCATACACATGTGAAGGGCACAGAGCAGGTTTTGTACCTGCTGGTGCAGAATTCTGAAGCCTGAAATGTAAGAGCAAGTCAGTGTCAAGCACTTCTTCATGCTGACATCCCCACAACCATCTGAGCTGAGGTGTGTCATCCTCATCTGAGATGCACTGAGGTTTAGGACTTCACGCTATACAGCTAATCAGGCATTACACCTGGATTTGAGTCCAGGTGTTTAGTGGACCTAGGGTTATACTAGAAGGTGATGTGAGCATTTTCCTATCTCCCTTGTCCTGTGTGCCTCTTCCTTCAAATGGGGTCTACTCTGTCTGATGTGTCTTTTGTCCCCAGAAAGCCATTTCTGTCTTGGAGATGGAGAATGGCTATTGGTGGTGCAGGAGGAAGAAGCAGCGGGCAGGTGTGATGCTGACGGTTGGTACCCGGCCTGATGGTAGCCCAGACCAGCGCTGGTGCTTCAGGTGAGCAAGTGGGCATGGGATGTGCTGACCCAGGAGTCGCCAGGGGCCATGCACAGTACAGGCCAGCCTTACTCTCTTGAAAAGCAGAGGATGGGGCTGGGAAGATGGCTCAGTGGTAGAGCGCGTGCCTTGCATGCCTGAGGCCCTGGGTTCAATTCCTCAGCACCACATAAGCAAAAAGAAAAAAGCCGGAAGTGGCGTTGTGGCTCAAGTGGTAGAGCGCTAGCCTTGAGCTGAAGAGCTGAGGGACAGCGCCCAGGCCCAGAGTTCAGGCCCCACAACCGGACCCAAAAAAAAAAGAAAAAAAAGAAAAGCAGAGGATGGCTTTAAGAGCCAGGTCTGGTGGGAGAAGCAAGGCTGAGGATCAATAGAGGTTTCACAGAGCAGGTCTAGGGCCTACCTAGTCAACTATCCCAGTGACTTAGACTGAAGGCCCCTCCCCATCTCTTCTTTCTGGCCAAGAAGACGGTGTTTTAGGCTTTTAGGTGTTTTACCGCCATTAATCTTGCCTTAGTTGCTCTGTACTGCCTCAACCCAAATTCTTCAAGCCTGATCTCTGAGCTATAGCCCCTTCCATGGTGATCAAGTCCTTCCCTGCTCAGAGCAGACCAAGGCAGCAGGAGAGGGAACATCGTGACAGATGCAGCCAGAAGCAGATGTTTATGAGGCAGTGATTGTGCAGGGGGAAAGGGGAAACATCATGAGAATAGCCATAAAAAGGCCCCCGCACCTGAAGCAGGCCTGATCACAATTTCTCTTCTCTGCTTGTGCTGAGCAACCCAGGCTTCTATGAGCAGTCTGACCGCCATAAGGACAGGGCCCATGGGATGTGAGTGGCCCAGTGCCCTGCATAGGAAGGCAGAGAAATCATCTTCCTCCTGGTCCCTGTGTCCATCTACTGTCTACCTATTGGGGGAGGGGAAGTGCCTCCCTGGGACAGTCTAGATAGCTGGCTTCCTAGAGCTAAAGCTACTCTTTTTTTTGTCCCGTGGGGCTTGAACTCTGGGCCTGGGCGCTGTCCCTCAGCTCTTCAGCTCAAGGCAAGCGCTCTACCACTTGAGCTACAGCGCCACTTCCGATTTTCTGGTGGTTTATTGGAGATAGGAGTCTCACGGTCTCTCCTGCCCGGGCTGGCTTTGAACCGCGATCCTCAGATCTCAGCCTCCTGAGTAGCTAGGATTACAGGCGTGAGCCACCAGCGCCCGGCTTAAAGCTACTCTTTGTTGTTGTTGTTGGTCTTGGGGTCTGAACTCTGGGCCTGGGCGCTGTCCCTCAGCTCTTCAGCTCAAGGGGAGCGCTCTACCACTTGAGCCACAGCGCCACTTCTATCTAGCCTTTTCTGCTTATGTGGTGCTGAGGAATTGAACCCAGGGCCTCATGCATGCAAGGCAAGCACTCTCTACCACTGAGCCACCTTCCTAGCCTAAAGCTACTCTTTCAACCACAGGGTGGAGGAAGTGAACTGGGCTTCGTGGGAGCAAACACTGGCCACCGTGTGTGAAGAGCCATCAGGGGCAGGCATCTCTGGTGAGTAGCTATGGGGTGAGAGCTTGTGCCCGGGTGTGCTGTTTGTCTTCTGGGCTACACAGCCTGGGAGTTTCTGGGGTAGGACTTTGCAGCTGCACTCATGCCTGCCCCTTCCATTGGGTCCCCCAATTATGACCCGCCCCCCTGCCTTCTCGTGCTGATTCCCTGTCCAAGTTATACCCTGCACAGGGTTATACTGAAGATCTGTCTGGCAGGCCTGGGGACCCAGAAGGAAACAAATTAGGGAGAAGTTAGGGCGTACTCTGCCAGTCCACAGTACAGGTGGCATCTCTCTGGTTCTGAGGGGAGGAAGGGGGACTGCCTGGTCTGATAACCCAGCTTTGCTGACTCCAGCAGTTCTCCCTGTGCCCAAGCCCCTAGCCCTTTCATACCTGGCAGGAAAAGCCATTTCCTGTGCCTCTCTTCAGCTTTGTGTGTCCTCTCTGTTTTAGCAGTGATGGCCGTTCCTGTCCCCACCTAGCTGCCTCCACCAAGACTGATTCTGGAACCACCTGAGAGTTCCAGAGTTTCCACATCAACTTCTATAAATTCTTCTGTCCCATCTCCTCTTTCCTGTACAATGCCTGTGTCTGTGGTCCTCCTAACTCCCCACACCAGATGCTTTCCACGTTGTTGAGATACTCCACAGGCCTCCTGCTCCAAAGGCTGTTCCATCCCCAATGGGAACATCTCAGGGCTGCTTAGCAGGGAGCAAGTATGTAACCCCACACCCAAGTAGGAGGCTTTGAGGGTCTCTGTGTCATGCAGTTCTGCTGTCCTGTACCTCTTAGGCAGCTATTTACCCCTGGGCCTGTGTAGCAGTGCACTCAGCCCACATCCCCAACCTTCAGACAAGTTTCTGTTCCAGACTTATCCCACTCCACTCCTGCTAAGGCAGACAAACAATTCCCGTAGCCAATACTATCCAATGCCTGAAGGGCATACTTCTGTGTGGAGGTCAAGGCCCAGACCGCCAGCACTCCTTGTTCTTTAGTTTCTGACACTGCCTGAATTTTGATTCTTGGCTAAAAGTGCCCTTTCTCTTGTCTGAGTATCTAAATCTACCACCTTCCCTAGGGGATAGGCCCTCTATCTAACTTGTTTCCTGTTCTTTGGCAAGGTTCAGATGTTCTTTCTAGTTTCTGACTCTTAGCCTATCACCTCCTGGACTCTACACTTCAGAGAGGAGGTTGACTGACATGGCAGGGTTTTAGGAGATGATCCTAGAAGGAACAAGACAGGGAGGGGCTGCAGGGCCCCAAGATCACCTGCTCTCAACAAAGCATTCCAGGTTTTCATGGCTGAGACCTCCTCCTATTTCCCTAGAACCTGCCTCCAAGAAATACAATCCAGGGCCAAACCACAGCTCTTCCCATCTGTTTACAGGTTCTTCGAAGAACCCCATCTCATCCTCTCAGCCTGTGGAGGATCAGGATCGTGACTCAGAGAAAGATCATCTGCCCCTCCAAGTACTCCAGTCCCACTGATGAACCAGATGTAGTAGAAAGCCAGCAGTGTAGAACGGACAATCTTCCTAGTTATACTTGCCAGCTCCCGGGCTCCTGAATTTTGGTTGTAAATATAAATATATATTTTTCACAACTAGTTCTTCTGGATGAATTATTTAAGCAAAATTTGGAGGGCCCTCAGGCCAGTAATGTCTGCAAGGCTCAGTATGGGGATGAAGCTCAGCTGTTCCTACTCCTCACCTAGGCATAAAAAGTTCACCTGGGGCTGGGAAGGTGGCTCAGTGGTAGAGTGCTTGCCTTGCATGCCTGAGGCCCTGGGTTCGATTCTTCAGCACCACATAAACAAAAAGAAAAAAGCCGGAAGTGGTGCTGTGTCTTAAGTGGTAGAGTGCTAGCCTGGGACAGCTAGCTGAGGGACAGCGCCCAGACCCGGAGTTCAGGCCCCACGACCCGACCCCCCCCCCCCAAAAAAAAAAGTTCACTGAAGTGTGGTGGTGATAGTAGCTAACATAGCTTCCTTCCGGCCCCCACTTTTTTTTGGCCAGTACTGAAGCTTGAACTCAAGACCTCATTCTTCCTTAGCTTTTTTTTCTCAAGGCCAAATTCTGGCTTTTCCTCTGGTTAGAGATAAGACCCTCAATCTATCAGCCTATGCCGGCTTTGAACCGTGATCCTCAGATCTCAGCCTCCTGAATAGCTACGATTACAGGCCTGAGCCACCGCCACCCGGCTGCAATTTTTCTTCTTTTTTTTGTTGGTCATGGGGCTTGAACTCTGGCGGGCGCTGTCCCTGCGCTCTTCAGCTCAAGGTTAGCGCTCTACTGCTTGAGCCACAGCGCCACTTCTGGTTTTCTAGTGTTAATTGGATATAAGAGTCTCAGGGACTTTTCTGCCTGGGCTGGCTTTGAACCGCGATCCTCAGAGCTCAGCCTCCTAAGTAGCTAGGATTACAGGCGTGAGCCACCAGCGCCCGGCTTGCAATTTTTGTTATTATTATTAGTGTCGGTCGTAGGGTCTGAACTCTGGGCCTGGGCACCGTCCTAAGCTCTTCAGCTCAAGGCTAGCGCTCTACCACTTGAGCCACAGCGCCACTTCCGGTTTTTCTGTATGTGGTGCTGAGGAATCGAACCCAGGGCTTCATGCCTGCGAGGCAAGCACTCTACCACTGAGCCACCTGCCCAGCGCCTCTTTTGTTATCTTACACAATCCTACAAACAGCCTTCTTCAGCGGCGATCGTGTCTTCACGTTCCAGTAGAACTCACAAGGGAAGGAGCATTCACAGCAGACAAGCGAGAAAGCGCACGCGCCCAGCCGCGCCCACGCACTCCGGAACTCACCGCTTGCTCTGTTACCCAGAATTCGCTGGGATATGGAAGAGACCAATAGCTCAAGAGAATGGGGGAGTGTCTCGGTTGATACTAGGAACCTGTATCGCTAAATGGGCTGGAAGTTCCCGTGAGTCTTTGCCAGTCTCACCCTCCCTCAAGTGAGAATTGGATTATCCCGACTCTTTAAGGGCCGGGAGCACGGGCGGGAGGCTCTCTTCGCTCTGGCCCTTATGCAGGTAGGTGTTGTGTGAGGGTACGGTTGCAGGCCGCGAGCGCAAGAGGCCGAGGTACGCCGCCGGGAACATGGTTCTCGGGAGCTTAGCTCCAGGCGGCTGTGGCCATGTTTCCGGCCCTATTTGTGAAGCCCCGTGCTGGGGCACCTCGGGGGCCGCGTTGGCTTGAATCCACGGCGGCTTACAGCCGTGTGTTTTCTCTGCAGCGCCACCGGAGTCGGGCGTCCCCGAAGGGTAGGACTCAGTTCCCCCGCCCGCCATGAAGAAGGCAAACATGGGAAAATCGGGTAGGTTGGCGTCCGCGCGTCTGAGGCTTGGGGCCCCTCGGTGCTCTCACGTGGACGGGTTGCAGCAGTCGGTCCGCGTGGCTGTGTTGATGATACTAGTAATAGGAAGTGCCGTCAGATGCGAGAACTGACGACTTTCACGCTTATATCTGAATGCAGTCCCTCGAGCCTCGACATGTTCTAGGTATGTTACTGTTGGGATTTGTACGAAACCACTGGCCTTTTCTATTTCAGCTTGTGCTACTGCAGAAGGCTGGAGACAGCAGCATTTTATTCGCTGAGGTAAGATAAGTGACTAATCACCGGGCCCTTGATGGTTTAGCTGCATCTTCTGTAGTATTAAAGATTGTCGGGTGGCATAGCGTGGAACCTAAAATGCAAAGTGGGGGGTCTATGGCCAGACCTGTGAGTTATGGCGACTCTTGAATATCTCCAGTGAGTTTTTAAAGACATGTGGAGGATGGGAGAAGAGATGCTTGGCTGCTCTGATGAAATCACTAGTAGGAAGTGCCGTCAGAAGCGATAACTGACGATAACTATTCCTGGCTGACTGCAGTCAAGACCATTAGCTGTTGGTGGCAGTATTATGTTGATTTGAACTCTTGACAGGGTTGTTATATTTGCCCAGGTTGCAGATTAATGGAACCAGCTGAGATGGGAGCCAGAAGACCCGGCTTTCTATGAGGTAAGCATTGGTCTTTACTGACAGAACACCCCCTACTAACTAGAGACGTTGGGGGGGGGTAAGAGCTGAATGTAATGTAGTTAGGAAGGGGTTTCCACTGCCTTGGAGAAGTTGCATGTGTGCTCTGTAGTTTTCCTCAACTTGTGAACAGTCTTGTTTGGGAACTTTGAAGTGACAGGACTATGTAGATGACACCCTAGAATAGCTAATTGTAGCTATGATTTTTAAATATTTAGGGGCTTGTGGGTCTTAGGATGGGTTTTCAGTTTGTGACTTTATAGTAGAGGCTTTCATCAGAAATGCTTCTGTTCCTCCATAGGTGGCTATGGTCTCTAGTCCTTGGAGTTTGAGGAAAGTTGCATGCAGTTCAGCTCAGTCTAAGAGGTGGTAAGTCTTGATCTTCATAACAAATCAATCAGGGTGGAATAACTAAGCACCTAGTGGTCAAAAATTGATTTAAAGAAATGGATATCGAATGATGAAATCACCCAAAATAGCTGGAATTACCGGCAGATTGGAAGTGGTGAGCCTATGGTTTTCTGAAGGTATCTTTAGGTTGAGTGAATGCTTGTTGGTTGCAGCCAAAAATTAGACTAAAATGTAGTTTCTTTGCAGGATATATCAAGAAGAAGATGGGCCATCCTGGAGGTTCATAGCTGTCATTTTTTGATTTGGAATTTGGAACCCTGCCGGGCTTCAGTGTTTACAGAAGAAGCCTGCTCACCCTGTGCCAGACCATCCTTATCATTGGTCTGGCAGTTTTCTTTTTCGGTTCCGGCCATGAGGCCTGAACTCTGGGGCCTGGGTGCTGACCCTCAACTCTTCAGCTCAAGGCTAGCGGTCTACCTCTTGAGCCACAGCACCACTTCCTGCTTTTCTTATGTGGTGCTGAGGAATTGAACCCAGGGCCTCAGAGGCATGCAAGGCAAGTGCTCTACCACTGAGCCACCTTCCCAGCCCTGGTCTGGCAGGTTTTTTTTTTAGCACTTGTTAGATGGCCCAAAATAAACTGTACTATTCAATAAACTTTAAATTTTCTTTGTTTTGTGGGGGCGTTTGTTGTCAGTCATGGGGCCTGAGTGCTCTCCCTTAGCCTTACAACTCAAGGCTAGCTCCCTACCACTGGAGCCACAGTGCCACTTCGGCTTTTCTGCTTATGTGGTGCTGAGGAGTCGAACCCACGGTCTCAGCCATGCAAGGCAAGCACTCTACCACTGAGCCACCTTCCCAGGCCTAAACTTTAAATTTTCATTAAGCCCAAAATGTCTTCACACAGCTACCATAAACTAATATGAAATAAAGATTTCTTTGCTATTGGTTCTTAAAAATGTGTATTTGAAGAAAGTAAATATAACTTGTCACTTATTAGTCTAGCTTTAGCAACCACGTTTGTAAACTTCTGGTCAGTCTAAGCTGTTTTTACAACTATAGACTTATAGGCGCAGAAAACTCAAAGCATTTAAGGCATTCACACTTCTGTGTCCCACCTTAGCTTTTAAGTCATGACTTGGCTCCATTCTGTCTACTTAATCTTTAAGCAGTACAATCTCTAGCCTATGTAGTATCTCCCCTACTTGTAGAGGCTTATTGGCCAGTTTTGATCAGATTGTCCTAGGCTGTTCTACATACTTGGCTCACAAAATTTTACTGACTTGAGTACCTAAATGGACATGGTTGGCTCCTGATCTCCTTGTTAGTACTGTGGAAGAGGCAGGTGTGTGCGGGTAGTCTCCCAATTTGTCTCAGGGCTCCTTTTCATGGTCCTGACTTAATAGTGCAATAGCAATGATTAAAAGTATCCTTTAGCAGCTTTTTGCTAAAGGGAATGAAATCCACCCAGTAGGTCTGCAATTGAGAGGGAGCCAGGTTCATTACTGGCCCATGTGAGGACTAGGAATTTTCAAAGTTTTTCTAGCTTTTAAGTTTGACCTAGATAAGCAGTTAGGACAATAAGCACTGCAGGGTGGTGGCCCAAAGTGAGGCTTTGGAAGTGTGCTGTCAAGACTACTGGGGATCGCTGTCAACTACCCTCCTTCCTCAGTAGGATCTTAGGATTGGGAACGTGTTTAGCATCTGCCTGGAGTTTGCCTTCCAAAGATGAGTTGTGAAGTTCTGTGTTAGGTGTAGGTGCCATTTCCACAAGGCAAGGGCTACACTGAGAGGTCCCTGGAGTCTCAATCCAGGGATGATTTCTCAGAAGCCACCAAGCAGGTACTCTGAGGCATATGTCTTGAGTGGTATGAATTAAAGCCATGAACACAGATCCCCTTTCCTGGTGCATTGCGCTATTTTTCTGTGTGGGAGGCTGCCCAGGCTGACTTGGCAGCCATAATCTCATCCCCAAACTGCTTTAGCCCTACACAAGGATGGCCTGGTGATGCGCTCTCAATGTCACGTTTCAATTGCGGTTCCCTTGCTCTCTTGTTCTTCAGAAAGTACCACATGTAGCCCTTCGGAGTCCTGGCTCACTGTCCCTTCCCTGGCCTCCTCCCCACTGGCAGGACCCTCCCCCAGCTCCAGGATGGTTGGTAGGTGGCCCTGTTTTGGAGACCGCTTGCGCAGGCTGAGCAGGAAGGGCTGGGGCAAAGAGAAGATGTCCACATTGTTGCCCAAGTCAATCCAAGTGACATTGGGAAACTTGCTGGGGTCCTTCAGCATGTCAGTGAGGTCGCGCAGCAGGGCCCGGGTCAGCCGGTTTCCATTGAGGGCTAGTGTGGTGAGGCGAGGCAGGGTGCTGAGGGCTGGCAGTAGCTGCAGGACCATGTCATCTGTGAGGCCCGTGAAGCCCAGCTCCACACTGTCCACCTGCTCACCACAGCGCTGCAGGTAGCTGGTCACCCGTTCCAGGTCCCGGGAAGTCAGTGGAATGCCTGACAGGTCCACTGTATTGTCTGGAGGGTTCCCAGTCAGGAGAGCCTTGAGGCTGAAGGAGAGAAGGGGCAAAGTTCAAGTCAAAAAGCCAAGCTGAAGGCATGCATCAAGTGGTAGAGCAAGTGGGAGGCCTTGAGTTCAACTGTGGTACCAGCAAAAACAGAAAGCAGCTAACAATATAAGGGTTTTTATGTAGTATAATAAATGCAAAGCATTCAGGATATTATCTTCTTCAGGTGAATGATGAATAAACATTTGTAGCTGTCAAGATGTCTGTAGACACCTGGGCTGAGCCACCCTTGAGTGGCAGCTGAGTCTTTTCTAACAGGCACAAGGACTATGAGGCCTGTCTTTGAAGTTTCGCTTCCCAGTTAGGACAGCAGGCAGGGGAGGGCTCAGGGCCCAGGCCTGGTGGGATCAGTTGCCTCCTCAGGACTCAGCCCCTCCCTCTCCCTGCCATCTGTTTCAGGCTTCAGAACCAGGTTGCACTACCTGCTGGTGGGTGTGCCCTTCTCTCTTTGTACTGGTAAGATGTTCTGAATTCCCAAGTACCCCAGGCTAGGCCCTAGGAGGCCCCAACCCCAGGAAGGATGAGGGGGAAGGGGCTCACAGGTTAAGGCAAGGGCACAGATTGGTAGAACCAGCCAAGTCTCCTGAAACTGGGAGGCTTGTTTGCCTCATAACCGAGTTGCAAGGTAAAACTCCCAAGGCATGGCATTTTGTGTGTATATGCTGGTACTGGGCCTTGCACACTTGCTTGGCTTTTTTGTTCAATGCTCTACCACTCGAGCCAAGGCTCCTTTGCTGGCTTTTTGGTGGCTAGCTGGAGATAAATCTCACAGACTTTCTTTCCCAGGTTAGTATCAAATCAGATCTCAACCCACTCAGTAGTTAGGATTACTGGTTTGTGCCACCACCCCTAACAGGAGGTGACATATGAGTTGACTTGAAGACAAAGTGTGGGCCATCAGCAGGGTTTGGGAAGAGTTCTAACAGAGGAATACAGGTGCAAAGGCCTGAGGCTGAAAGGCTTAGTGTGTTTCTAAGCCAGCAGGAAGGCCAATATGGCTAGGGTCAGGAAGAACTGACAATCACAGTCCCTTGTTTGGATTTTACTCAAGTATGAGAAACTACCCGAGAGAAATGAGCAGGTTTCATTTACATGGATCCCCAATGAAGAATGGACTGGGCCTACGTGTGTGTGCATCAGACAGAAGAGGTCCCTAGATACCCACAGAACTCCTTGTAACAGTGAAGAATTAGCTCACAAAGCTGCCTTATGCATTCCAGATCCCATGGCTTCTCCTATCTCTTGTCAGTTCCCATCTATGGCTCTTGCTGTCAGTCTTCTGTCTGTCTGGGAAGGCCTCCCTAAGATCCATTTTCTCTTTCAGTTTTGCAGGTGGAGTGTACAGGAGGAGGTACCAGAACTTGCTCTCATCAATAAGATAGGAAGGGGCTGGGAAGGTGGCTCAGTGGTAAGAGCGCTTGTCTTGCATGCCTGAGGCCCTGGGTTCGATTCCTCAGCACCACATAAGCTAAAAGAAAAAAGCCGGAAGTGGCGCTGTGGCTCAAGTGGTAGAGTGCTAGCCTTGAGCTGAAGAGCTGAGGGACAGCGCCCAGGCCCAGAGTTCAGGCTCCACGACTGGACCCCCCCCCCAAAAAAAAAAAAAAAGATAGGAAGGCAGTCTAGGCCCACAAAGCCTTACTAAAATCTCTCAGAAGGCCAGCCACTCTACCTTGGGTCATTTGCAGAAAACCTGCCCTCCAACCACCCATCCGCTTCCTTTCTAAGATGCTCCTTGTTTCTCCGTAGTTTTGATTCACGTCCCCCTAACCCTCGCCAGTCTTCTTTAGAGGCCACACAGAATCCCAGAGGGTGCTTACTGATGTATGGGCCAGGCACATGGCTACAGTCTGGGTTCCCCCAGGAGAACATCCCAGGGAAGCAGGGGATTGTACTGGAAGCACCCACTTTTAGTACTCTAGTAACTAGAAACTCCACATCTCTTTCCCTGACCCAGCTTCCGTCATACATACCAGGTAGGGTGTCCTACTCTCCTGGACCTTACATTCCATTTGCCCTCACCTCCTTCCAGCAGGCTTCCCAGACACTTCCTCTGGCTCTAGCCCTTCCCTACCTCCTACCCTAGCAGGGCATCACAACCAGGAGCTGGGGCAGAAGAATGAGCCACAGGAGATTGTGACTCACCAGGCCTGTGGCTTCCTCTTCACCAGTCCACGGTGGCGCCTCCACTGGGAGTGGGGGCTGAGGTGGTAGGTCAACTGCCGGCATAGCTTCTCCATGGTGCCCAGTGCATCACCTTCCTGCAGAGGCAACCACAGGTACAGGTCCCTGAGTCCTCATGAGCAATTAGAGGTACAAGCCCCTACCCCTAGGCTTCATGGTCCCTTGGAAAAAGCACAGTATCACGAAGATGAGTAGGGGTACAAGCAAACAAGGGTCTTAGTGTGTGTGTGTGTGTGTTGCTAAGGATTGAACCCAGGGCCTCATGCATGGCTATATATATATATGCCCTCCGGCCCTGCACAATGGTTTTACTTTTTTGTGAATTAACTGCTACTACTGAAAAATTGAGATTTACATAAAAAGTCTGGAGGTTCCAGGCAATTTGGCTGAAGCAGACCCCTTGCCAATGATTTGTTGTGATACCTACCAGTCCCTAAAATCCAGGAGCATTCGTCACTTACTTGTTCAGTGAATATTTACTGAATGCTGAGCAGATTAGTACACACTTTCTAAGAATTCCCATAACACTGGGCACTGGTGGCTCACACCTATAATCCTAGATCCTCAGGAGGCTGAGATGTGAAGAGTGTAGTTCAAAGCCAGACCAGACAGGAAAAGACATGAGACTCGTATCTCCAAATTGGCCACCAGAAAACCAAAAGTGGAGCTGTGACTCAAAGTGGTATGACACTAGCCTTGAGAAAAGGAGCTCAGAAACAGTGCCCAGGTCCTGAGTTCAAGCCCCATGGCTAGCAAAAAATAGTTCCCATACCACTCAAGGGCAGTAAGTCCTGGCATCCTCCTCCTAGAGGAAGACAAGAGAAGAAAGGGAAGAGAGAGGAAGTAGGAGGATGAGAGTGCCTGAAGAAGTGAAGGATCTGAAGAGGATCCAGGAGGCAAAGGAAGCTTCAGACTGCATGAGGTGGATTTACAGGAGACCCTTGGATTCTTGCTTAGCCTAGGCACACAGGTGGTTCATGGGAAATAGTGATTACTAAGGCAGGAGCAGGAGCTAGATTCTGGGGGCTGCCAGGAAGTCAATAGAGGGGATATGGGTCTCTAGCAGGATGAGGTGTGTCTTTTGGGACTTTTATCCGACTCCTGGTTGGAGGTATAGAGGGTGTCTGAGGACCAGGCCCACAAAAGGGGCTGAAACCACACATTCAACTGGTGGTGCACTGGATGGAGGTGTGGGTAGGGTGTGAGTGAAGGGACCTAGGCAGAACACAAGGGGCTCCAGCTGGTCATTACTCAATGAGCAGCTCATGTGGGGCCATGCTCAATCTAAGAGGATTTGGGTATTATCAGCTGGGAACGCTACGGGAGTTATGGAGCTGGGCACATCTCTCAGCACTTGACTGAAGCCAGCACAGACTTGGGGGTGGAGGAATAGTAGGGGCTGGGTGAAGGCTGACTTCAGAGGCAAAAGAATAGTATATGAGAATGGGATAATACAACAGAGTCGAGTCAGGGTTCTCCACCTTGGAACATGGTTCTCCACCTTGGAATTGCAGTGGAGAAAGTTGGAACACAGAGTTTTGTTTTCTTTTTCTTTTGGGTCCGGTCGTGAGGCCTGAACTCTGGGCCTGAGCGCTGTCCCTCAGCTCTTCAGCTCAAGGCTAGCACTCTACCACTTGAGCCACAGCGCCACTTCTGGCTTTGTTCTTTTTGCTTATGTGGTGCTGAGGAATCAAACCCAGGGCCTCAGGCATGCAAGACAAGCGCTCTACCACTGAGCCACCTTCCCAGCCCCTTGTTTTCTTTTTTTTGGTCCAGTTGTGGGGCCTGAACTCTGGGCCTGGGCAATGTCCCTCAGCTCTTCAGCTCAAGGCTAACGCTCTACCACCTGAGCCACAGCGCCACTTCTGGCTTTTTTCTTTTTTCTTATGTGGTGCTGAGGAATTGAACCCAGGGCCTCGAGCATGCAAGGCAAGCGCTCTACCACTGAGCCACCTTCCCAGCCCCCTTGTTTTCTTTTTATATCAGTACTAGGACTTGAACTCAGGATCTCTCAACCTTTTCTGCTCATAGCTGGTATTCTGCCATTTGAGCCACATTTCCAATTCTTTTTGCTGGTTAATTGGAAATATGAGTCCTTGTTTGCTCACACTGGCTTCAACAGTCGATTCTCCGATCTCAGCCTCCTGAATAGGAGTCCAGGCAGCAGCTACCAGCACCAAGAGAGTTTAAACAGCTCCCTGTGAGTTCCTTATCAGACAAGAAGGACCCAGGGGGTCAGGTAGCATCAATTTCAGATGCCCTAAGGCCTAATGTTCCAGTCTACTAAATCAACTAATCTGAAGCTTAGAACTAAGTTCCTCATCCTAGGTTCCTCCTCCAGTCACTTTCCAGGGTATCCAAAGCGTCTCAACCTTCCCGCCTTAAAAGAAAGAGAACAAAGAGATAGGAGGGGCATCAGTACATTCATTCTGCCACAAGGGGGCAGCTGTGCACAAAGGGAGGCTCCTGATGGGCATAACTGAAATTGAGAAACTGAGGGAGCCTCAGCCTCTTCTCTGGCTAAAAAGGACGATACACAGCACACATTTAATAGAGCTAAACTGTTACTAAACATGAGCTGATGATCTCATAGTGAAAGGTCCTTTCTACTTGTCAGAATTAAGCAAATCGATTCTTATTTTTGATCCTTGGGATGGAACCCGGGGATCTCATATGCGAGGCAAGACTGCTACCTTCCACTAAGCCACACCTCCAGCCCTAGAGCTGATATCTGTTGAGCAAGCTACATTACCATGCCACTCTGCTCTCTCTCTCTGCCCTCCAGGTGAGAAATTTTGTCTTCTGCATAGGTTCATTCAAGAAATTTCTATCATTTACATGTAGAAAAGCCCCCAACATCTAAGTTTTCTCCCCACTTCTTCCCTTTCCAGGTTCCCTCTAGGCCTTCTGGTAAAGAACAGGACTGGGTGGGGCTGGCCCTGAGCAGGAGTAAAAAGAGAAGGTAGGGAGGACAGGAGGAAGCAAGCTAAGAGGAGGAAGAAGTGCCACTGTGTTTTGTCTTAATGTTGCGAGACAGTGGCATCCCTGTGTGGCCTTGGCCAGGAAGCCTTGTGTCAGCAGGCACTATTTGTTAGGAAAATGGAGGAGAGAGGAAGGAAATAGTCCAGACTTGATCTTCCACAGGCAAGGACTGTTTATTGAGATAGAGTGGTGAGGGACACAGCCTTCTCATGGGCTTGGAGACTGTGGAAGAGCTGGACAGGAGCTCTTTTTTTCTTTTTGCCAGTCCTGGGGCTTGAACTCAGGGCCTGAGCACTGTCCTTGAGCTTCTTTTGCTCAAGGCTAGAGCTCTACCACTTGAGCCACCCTACTTCTGGCTTTTTCTTTTTTTTTTTTGTCGGTCGTGGGGCTTGAACTCTGGGCCTGGGCGCTGTCCCTCAGCTCTTCAGCTCAAGGCGAGTGCTCTACCACTTGAGCTACAGCGCCACTTCTGGTTTTCTGGTGGTTTGTTGGAGATAGGAGTCTCACGGTCTCTCCTGCCCGGGCTGGCTTTGAACCGCGATCCTCAGATCTCAGCCTCCTGAGTAGCTAGGATTACAGGCGTGAGCCACCAACGCCCGGCACTTCTGGCTTTTTCTGTGTATGTGGTACTGAGGAATTGAACCCAGGGCTTCATGCATGCTAGGCAAGCACTCTACCACTGAGTCACATTCCCAGCCCAGGAGCTGGGTTTTTATGAGGTCTGAGCAAAGAGGCAGAAGCTAATGAAAAAATTATTAGGTCAAGGGAAGGTGGTGGGGAGCTTTTCAGTTGGGCCCACAATGGAATGTTTACAGCCGGGTTTAGATTGCCCTGACGGTCTGCAGGCAACTTTGGTGGGCTGCCTGGTATCTGCATGCACCTGGGGAAACAGGGTAGGAGTCAATCCTTCATATTCCATCTTTGGATACAAGGGGCCAAGAGGGGAGAGGCAAGCCCTTCACTACATGTTACACATGTTCTGCCCTTTTCCAGGAACATGAGACACCTTTCCATCACCTCTGGAACCTGGCACCCTATAAGTAAACTAGGGGCTGTGGGCAGCCATATTTCCTGCTTAGAGTAGTGTGAGAAAGAGCTATTCTCTAGAAGGAGTGGAGAGGGAGGCAAAGGAGAAGAGGAGGGACTGGTGGACTGTGGCCATGTTTGCCTATAGTTCTAGGGCCCCTACCAAGCTCAGCTGTCTTTGAGTCGACAAAACACCATAGTCTGTAGGATAAATTTCTCCTGATCTGGCCTAGGTGGTTGTCTTCTTTTGCAACAGTACTAGCCTATGCAGAAGACTCACTGGTAGTTTGCAGAGGCTCTGCAGCTCTTCCTCCCACCCATGGGGAAGGAAGGTGATGGAAGGAGCAGAGCTCCGCACAGGGGAACTGCTCTTAACTTCCCAGTGATGCTGCCTGCAAGTTTGGGGCAAGGGTTCTGTCCCTCAGCTCTTCAGCTCAAGGCTAGCCCTCTACCACCTGAACCACAGAGCCTCTTCTGGTTTTCTTAGTGGTTTTTGGAGATAAGAGTCTCCTGGACTTTCCCGCCCAGGCTGGCTTTGAACCGAGATCCTCAGATCTCAGCCTCCTGAGTAGCTAGGATTACAGTTGTCAGTCATCGGTGCCCGGCTTCTCAGTGATTTTGAAGATGTTTGAGGCAGACCTATAGCCCCACTCCGGGAAGACCTACCACCCCCAACACTGTTCCATCTGTCAGCTGTCAGCCAGTGATGCCTTCTGCCACCTTTACTTCCCCAGGTACTTCTTTAACAGCCCCCAAGACTCCAATAAGAATAGCCCTTCACTCAAAGGCTACCCTCATCCAGTCATTAAGTCATTCATTCATTAAGCACTGACTGAACCCATCTTTTATTATGCACTGCCCACAGTTCCAGATAGACACTGTGTTGGTACAAAGCTTACTCCCTCCCAAGGTCCACTCTCTGCCGAGGACTGAGCTCTGACACTGGGCCAACTGGCTTCTCTGTTCTCTGCTTCCAGTTGGCATCAGGTAACGGAAGCAAGATCAAGGGCAGGAAGAGCAAAATGTTGAAGGATTTACCCATCATTCTTCCCTTGCTTCAGCACATGTGGAAACCAACCTCTCACATGAACCCCTTGTTTATCTCCTGGCATCTGTGTCAGGGGCACCCCGCCACCCCCAGTACTGGGGTCTGACAGACTCAACGGAATGGCAGGAGTAGTAGTATGTAACTTGAGGCTAGATCATGAAAGGTATCCTGGCTTTGGGGATAAGCTGGCTTCATGATATGATGTCCAGCAGTCCTGGAGACTCCTGCCAACAATCTGTAATGTGCCATTTTGGAAGTGGACCTACCAAGCTCTGTCCAACCTTTTTTTTTTTTTGGTGCCAGTCCTGGGGCTTGAACTTGGGTCCTGAGCACTGCCTCTGAGTTTTTGTGCTCAAAGCTAATGCTCTTCCACTTGAGCTACAGCTCAACTTCTGACTTTTTGGGTGCTTAACTGGAAATGAGTCTCACAGAGGTTTCTGCCTGGACTGGCTTCAAACAGTGATCCTCAGATCTCAGCTTCCTGAGTAGCTAAGATTCCAGGTGTGCCACCAACACTGGGCTTCTGTCAAGCCTTCTGATGATTGCAGTCCTGATCAATGTCCTGAGACAGCGTAGAGTAGGATGCCCTGAACTCCTGACCTGGAGACTGTTCAACAACAAATATCTCCTTTTTTATTTAATCTATTCATTTTGAGATAGAGTGACTTGCTATGTTGTCTAGACTGACCTCAAACTCCTGGGCTGAAGTGTTCCTCTTGCCTCAAGCTCCCAAATATAGCTGGGACCACAGGTACGTACGTACCCCTGTGCCTGGCCCAATGTCTAAATTTTTGGGTAGTCTCTCACAAAGCAATAGATAATACAGCAGCTTATTGGAGAGCTGCCTTACCTTGGCTCCTGTTTTATATAGCTTCCTCCACTGCTCCTTGGGTATTCAACTTTCTACTGATGGGGTCTTTGGGTGTCTCACTGGTCCCGCTGACTTACTTTGTCTTTTTCCAAGGCTTTTTTTATTATCAGTTCTGGGGCTTGAACTCAGGGCCTAATCACTGTCCCTGAGCTTTATTGCTCAAGACTAGAACTCTCCCACTTTGAGCCAAAGTGCCATTTCCAGTTTTCTGGGGGTCAGTTGGAGATAAGAATCTCACAGGGTTGGGAAGATGGCTCAGTGGTAGAGTGCTTGCCTTGCATGCATGAGGCCCTGGGTTGGATTCCTCAGCTCCACATAAGCAGAAAATGCCAGAAGTGGAGCTGTGACTCAAGTGGTAGCGTGCTAGCCTTGAGTTGAAGAGCACAGGGCAGCACCCAGGCCCAGAGTTCAAGCCCCACAACCAAGAGGAAGTCCAGAGAGGATGCTTAGGTCAAGGGATGGAACCTCAGCCACAGGAGGCTCATGCTATTGGAGAAGCAGTAAAGTCCCTAGATAGGAAAGGATCTGATGTGCCAGCAACAGAAATGTGCTGTGTGACTGGAGAAGAGCATACAGGGCCAAGAATGGTAGTGATGAGATGAGAGATAGGGGTGCCTTTTATTTATTTTATTGGGGGTCTGGTCATGGGGCCTGAACTCTGGGCTTGGGTGCTGTCCCTCAGCTCTTCAGCTCAAGGCTAGCACTCGACCACTTGAGCCACAGCGCCACTTCTGGCCTTTTTCTTTTTGCTTATGTGTTGCTGAGGAATCGAACCCAGGGCCTCATGCATGAAGGCAAGCGCTCTACCACTGAGCCACCTTCCCAGCCCCCCCCACTTTTTTGTCGGATGTGGGGCTTGAACTCTGGGCCTGGGCGCTGTCCCTCAGCGCTTCAGCTCAAGGCTAGCACTCTACCACTTGAAGCACAGTACCACTTCCTGTTTCCTGAGTGGTTTATTGGAGATAGGAGTTTCATGGTCTCTCCTGCCCCGGCTGGCTTTGAACCGGGATCCTCAGATCTCAGACTCCTGAGTAGCTAGGATTACAAACATGGCCACCAGTGCCCGGCCCTTTTAATTTTTTTTGTGGCTCTGGGGATGAAACTCTGCTTCACACAACCTAGGTCAGGGTTCTATCACAAACCTGTGGTTTGGGTTTTAGTTAAACTAAAAACCGCATTGAAGAATTTTCAGCAAGGTCTGTGTGTAATCCAATTAACCCAGCACTAGCAAGCTTTCTGGCTGCTCCCCAGGGCATAGGAGGTGGGAAGGTGGTGCTGATGCTTGGAAGCCAGTTGTGTGCTATTTTAGTTAGCCTTGGAGACAGGATGTGGTTGAGAAGGGGAGGGCAGAGGACAGGGACAGATGGGCAGGTCACTAAGTATGGCTCCTTTCAGTACTGCTCTCAGACTGTTGGGACTGGCTCTGCCTTCCATCACAGAGCGACAAATGTGCCCAGGAATTTCACTAGGATACCTTCACTTTGTAGGGGTGTTAAAGCCCTGTCCACTTGGCCTGAGATCCCTGGCTTTTCTGTCTCATCAGGCTTTTGTTGAGGGGCTGTAGTCTCAGCAAGGGAAAGATGATTTGTAAGGGCTTCCCTATGAGACCAGCCAGAAAGGGCCATTTCCTTCCTTCCATCTAACAGCTAGCTGATGGAGGTCTATCGCTGTAATTAACAGTCCTAACATCTGTGTACACCTTCTGGTCCTGTTAACTTGAGCTGCTAGGACAGTCTCAGATGCAAAGAGCTAAGAGGAGGAAGTTGGCTTCTTAATTCAAGGCTGGCACTCTACCACTGACCATGCCTCAGTTCCAGCTTTTCACTGGTTAATTAGAGATAAGAGTCTCATGGACTTTTCTGCCCCCCAAAAGGTTTCTTTGAACCTTGATATTTATATTTCATCCTCCAGAGTAGGTAGGATTACAGGCACCTGGCTAGCTTGTTGTGTTCTAAGACTTTGGGTGCGATTACAAGGTTGTTGTTCCCCTTTATCAGTAAACACCTTGTCTTTGGTGCATGGGAGGGCACACATGCCAGGATCATCTCACTGAACCTTCCAAACAACTTGAGAGGAGAGGCATAATTTTTTTTTTTGGGTGCCAGTCCTGAACTTGAACTCAGAGCCTGGACCTTGTTCCTGAGCTATTGTGAACAAGGCTGGAACTCTACCACTTTTTTTTGGTGGTTAATCAGAGGAAAGAGTCTCATGGACTTTCTTGCCTGGGCTGGCTTCAAACCAGAATCCACAGATTTCAGTCTCCTGAGTAAAAACATGATTTTGATTCCTCTTTTAAGGTTGAGGAAAACAAAGTTCAGGGAATCAAGTGATCTAGAAAAGTCATACCACATGCAATGAACTGAAGGTTTGTGTCCCCATTCAATTCCTGTCTTGAAACCCCAGTACCCAGGGGATGAAGTTATGAGTTGTGGCTTTGGGAGGTGGGGTTCATGGTGAGATTAGTGCTCTTAGAAAGGAGAGGCTAGCAAGCTTTTTATCCTCTTCCTGCCACACGAGGACCCACAGAGAAGGCAGCAGTCTTTGACCAAGACGAGGTTTTTCACAGACACTCAGATCTTGGACTTCCATCCTCCAAGACTGAGAGAAAAATATGTATACAAACCCTCCACCCCACAGCACTTTATATAACAGCCTGAATTGACCTAATAGTCCAAAATGACTAACAAGCTAGGAACCACCCATCCCTCCAGTCCAACTCAGACAGAAGGGAAGAACCAGAGAGCAGGAGCTCCAGGTCCCCCTTCTAGCCCAGCCTGGTCCTGTTTTACCAGGTCTGACAGGCAATTAATTACTTCCTGTGTCCAGCCCCGCACTGGTTCATGAGGTAGTCCCAAACAATACCAAAGTTTCTCACATAAGTATAACCTTTCTCACATCACATTATTACCTGATTTTTGTTTTTCTCAACTCTCAAATGGGCATGAAAATACAGCTTGCGTGTGTGTGTGTGTACGTACAGGGATATGAGGGGGGCCTATGCCATTTGTCTAAACTGGAGGCAATTCAATCAGTTTTTAGAAAAGGCAGATGTTTGGCTCCTGAAGGATCTCCTATAAGTCTGTCTCTGGTGCGTTCCTGCTTCTCCAGACTGGACCATGTATAATCTGAGTGAGAGATGAGGTTGCTGCCAGCCATAGTTGGTTAGTTCCCATGGCTCTTGGCATCAATTAGCTCTTCTCTCTCAGGCCTCCAGGTTCCCGGCCTGCCAATCCTCATTACTGTCTTTTTTCTTACTATCTCATATCTGAGCCCAGTGTCCCTGCCTTCTGCTGACCTTGGTTGGATCCCAGTAACCCACAGCCAGCCCCACCTCAAGGTCTTGCAATCGCAGGCAGCTCCAAGAGCCTCTAAGAGAAGGTCCTCAGACAAAGCCACAGATGTAATCAGCACCAGGAGCCTCCTTTCCCTGAAGCAAAGTTCCAGCTCTCTGGGGACCATGGTGTTCCATGGTCAGATCTGTGCTCTGAAAGGTGCCCACCTCACACCCCAGGACCTGGCTGGCTCAGACCCCAACGCCCTACCGGCTTGGGGCAGTGGATGTAGCGTGCCAGGCTGATGATGAGGTCGTGTGTGATGGGGTCCACCAGGTTCCGGAAGCTGGCATAGCGATACAGGACATCATCCAGTGAGGTTGACTCCATGCCCAGGTCCTGCAAGAGCAGAGGATGCCCAGAGGTCAAGTGCCATCCAACGCACAAAGCCCTGCCCAGGAGAAGCAGGTACAGCCTGGAGGCAGCTCAGCCTCTCAAGAAACTAATCAAGAAAGAAACCATCTGGAAGACATCAGGAACCCCCCTCCCTGCCCCCTCCACCCAGCCTGTTTATCTCTCATTGAGGAAGAGGAAAGACCAGTATCTGCAAGACCCCCAGCTCTGCAGTTCCTGGCTTATTAACCTTTCTCAAGACAACTTCCCCACTAAACCTTGCCTCTGACTTTCCCAAGGATGTAGTCAAGGAAGGCAGGCTTGGAGCTTGTGATTGCTTTTCTCCAGAGGCCAAGTTTGGAACTGACTTTCATAGTGAAAGGATTGTCAAGGATTGTTTATTGACCTCCATTTGTATTTTTTCCCCTACCTCCAAGAGTACTCAGACTGCTGCTTCTGTAGATGACCCAATTTCAGTGTTCCTTTGCCTTGGAGGGGTTTGTGTTGGAGTTCTAAGGTGAAGCTTCCAGATATCTGCAAGAAAACCTCAGCTTGGCTCCCTGAGAAGGCATTATTTGGGTCTTCCAAATGAGAAGGAAGGGGAATGGGAGTGATGCCACAAAGTGGGGCAAGGAGGCGGAAGACACCCTAGAATAGAGGTTACTCTGGCTTGAGAAGGGACACGCATTTGGGGGTAGAATGGGGTTCAGCACATGCCACCCCCAAATGACACTGCAGCACTTGAGCAAACAGCCCAAGCAGCAAGTCCTCCCTAACCTTCTCCCCTGACTTTCCTCTACAGTGATAGTTCATGATCTCATCCCAGGGAAGTACCCTCTATTACCAGAGGAAAGAAATCCCTTTATTCTTGAAAACACAGACACCAAGAAACTTTACAAACTTGCTAAATTTCTCCAAATGTATTATCACTAAATTGAAGCTTTTCCTCCACTCAGTCTTTTGCATACTATCCATGAAAATGTACAGATTTCTCACCTGGCACCGGTGGTTCATGCCTATAATCTTAGCTACTCAGGAGGCTGAGTTCTGACGATTGAGATTTGAAGCCAGCCTGTGCAAGAAAGTCTGTGAGACTCTTGTCTCCAATTAATCACAGAAAAAGCTGGAAGCAGAGCTGTGGTTCAAGTGGTAGTGTGCCAGCCTTAAGCACAAAAGCTCAGGAAGCCCCCCAGCTCCAAGGACTCTGTAGAGACCCCTGCCCATCAGCAAGGGTCACCAGGGTATGGCCAAGATCCATGACCAGTGTGAATCTGGACCTAAAGGCCCTGCTCCAGCTGATCTTTGCTCTGAACATTCTATGATTCTTTTACAATGCCAGGGAATGGGCAGTTTGTCCCATTTGCAACACAACCCAGCTTGCATTTCCCGTACTTGGCTGCTGGGAACTTGACAAGAAATTCTCTGCTTAATAGAAGTAAAGAAATAAATGTTTTTCCTATTCTGGAGTGCTGGACTAAACACTACAATTTGCTAGGCCCTGGGCAGGGAATGTGAGGGGTATCTATCTGCCTGGGTTCCAGAAGAGGTGTTTACCAGTCATTGGAAGGGATAGTCTCAATATTTCTGAACACCTTTCCCTATGTGATTCTCAGAAATCCCTGGAATGAAGGAGGCAGCTCATCAGCATTCCAATCTATAGCTGGAGAAACAGAGGCCCAGACAGGCTGACTTCTTGAACTGTGGCATTTTAGGTATGGTGGGGTAGTGGTGGGGCTAGACCTCAGCTCTGGTCTGTTTTAAGGATGCTATGTGAACTTACCCACTATGAGGGTGAGCTGGGTCTGGGCACTGGAGGGAGGATTGGGATGAGGTCCTGTGTGTTGTGGCTAACATGTTAAAGAGCAAAGAAGGGATCTTTGTGGATGGATCCAGAGGGGCCAGAATGCCATACCCTCTGTCCTGTGAAGAGCTTCACAGAACACACGTGGAGAATTTAGGAGATACTCTGCTCTCTGCTTCTTATCACAAGGACACCAAGGGGCCAGCATGGGGAGCTGTGTTCCCCCAAACCTTATAGGCCAATCTCTGCTGTTGCTGTAGCTTCCTGCAGAGCTGGGTCTGCAACATGGCTGAGTGGCAGGGGCTTCTGAGCATTGGCCACCAAGTTCCAGGGCTGGGTCCTGTGCAGAACCAAGTGCAATGCTGGCCATTACCTCTGTCCCCACCTGTCTTGGTCAGTACTGAGCCTAGGACCTTGAAGCAAGCTAACTAACATGGTTGAGTCTGCGTTCTCCTCTTTTTCTGAGTGACTCAGCCAGCATCTAGGTGAGAAAAACAGAACAAAGTAATGAGGGCAAAGCCTCTGGCAGGGATAAGTCTTCATCAGTGATTCTTCTCTTCCTTCCTGGGGTCCCTCTCTCTCCAAGCAGTGGTGCTTGACCTCTTTCTTTCTTTCTTTCTTTTTTTTATGGGTCTGGTCTTGGGGCCTGAAATCTAGGCCTGGGTGCTGTCCCTCAGCTCTTCAGCTCAAAGCTAGTGCTCTACCACTTGAGCCACAGCGCCACTTCTGGCTTTTTTTTCTTTCTGTTTATGTGGTGCTGAGGAATCGAACCCAGGGCCTCAAGCATGCAAGGAAAGTGCTCTACCACTGAGCCACCTTCCCAGCTCCATGCTTGACCTCTTTCTAAACCAGGTATCAATCTCAGGATGTGTTAAAGCCATAAACACTCAGGAAAACACAGGTGTCAGGGCAGGACAGGGACCTTGACACATAAAGCCCACGGTGGTCTTAGGGTCAGAAGGGTGTATTTGGGTTGTATGGACACAGTGCTCCAGGGCACACTATTACCCAGCCAGGAATGATCAGAATATACCCATCTTGCCCATGGTAGGAGGCTGAGAAGGCAGGAAGTCTCAAAGTGGAAGGGCGTGTGTTATAGGGTCTCAAAAGGCCTATGTGGTTAAAGGGCCATGGCTCAGCATGTGGCTTCCCAGCCAGACCCTGCTTGTAGCTCAAGGCTTCCTTTCCCGGGGACAGGGAGGCGGGGAAGGAAAGCAGAGGAATCGGATGGTAACAGCACAGTGATTCCTACAGCCACTTCGCCTTTTCTTTCTTTCTTTTTTTTTTTTGGGTCCGGTCGTGGGGCCTGAACTCTGGGCCTGGGCGCTGTCCCTCAGCTCTTCAGCTCAAGGCTAGCGCTCTACCACTTGAACCACAGCGCCACTTCCGGCTTTTTTCTTATGTGGTGCTGAGGAATCGAACCCAGGGCCTCAGGCATGCAAGGCAAGCGCTCTACCACTGAGCCACCTTCCCAGCCCCCCACTTTGCCTTTTCAACCCTGGCAATCAATGGGTTGATAGATGTCGCAGCCAGATCGCCCTCACATCCTCCACTTTGCCTTTTCAAGACCTTTCTTCTCCCTTTAATTTTTCTCTTTCTTTCCTCACCCTCCCTTCGTCTTCCTTTCCTCCCCCCCTCTCTCCCTTTTCCTTTCTTTTTAGGCCAGGACCCAAGCTGGCCTCAAATTTGCAAACCTCCCTCAGTCTCCAGGCACATACCCTCACATTGGGCTACGGGTTATCTTTCCTTTAGTCTGCTCCTCTGTGTACTTCATAGCAGCCTCTGTTCCTCCCATGCTTTGCCCCATGTGTCCTCCTGAGTATACCTCTGACACCTAGTAGACTTAGCCCCAGTTGACCTCCAACTCACTCTAAGTCTGTAGATAAGAGCTTAAGGGAGAGCTTGACATCTGCATTCTTGTCCACAAAATGAACTCCAACAGCAGCTATAAACTGTGTTCCAAGGTCTTGGGGCTTCAGGTGGGGACAGTGGTGGTGGAAAAGAAGGAGGCAAGAAGAGCCTTCAAGATTATAAGCCCTGCCTGGCTCCTGGCAGGGAAGCATTTGGTTTCAAACAAATGAACAAGCAATCAAGCAAACAGTTGTCAAAGAAAAGCTGGAAGCCAGGTGCCATTGGCTCACATCTGTAATCTTTTTTTTTTTGGTCCGGTTGTGGGGCCTGAACTCTGGGCCTGAGTGCTGTCCCTCAGCTCTTCAGCTCAAGGCTAGCGCTCTACCACTTAAGCCACAGCGTCACTTCCAGCTTTTTTTCTTTTTTGCTTATGTGGTGCTGAGGAATCAAACCCAGGGCCTCAGGCATGCAAGGCAAGCGCTCTACCACTGAGCCAACTTCCCAGCCCCTCACATCTGTAATCTTAATCAGGAGGCTGAGATCTGAGGATCATGGTTCAAAGCCAGCCCAGGCAGCAAAATCCATGAGACTCTTATCTCCAATAAACCACTAGAAAACCAGAAGTGGTGCTACAGCTCAAGTGGTAGAGTGAGCACTAGCCTTGAGCTGAGGAGCTCAGGGACAGCATCCAGGCCCAGAGTTCAAGCCCCAAGACCAACAACAACAATAACAAAAAAAAAAAAAAGAAAGGAAGGAAGGAAGGAAGGAAGGAAGGAAGAAAGAAAGAAAGAAAGAAAGAAAGAAAGAAAAGCTGGAAACCTAAAAGCTGGAAACCTAGAATTAGGTGATTGCTCAGATGTCTTATGGTCTTGGCAGCCTGTTCATTTCCCAGACCCCCCTGCTTCCCCCCCCCCCGCTGGTCCTGGGGTTTGAATTCAGGGCCTGGGCACTGTCCCTGAGTCTCTGTGCTCAAGGCTAGCCCTCTACCATTTGAACCATAGCACCACTTCCAGGTTTTCTGAATGGCTTACTGGAGGTAAGAGTTGCATGGACTTTTCTGCCTGGCTTTAAATCGTGATCCTCAGATCTCAGCCTCTTGAATAGCTAGGATTATAGGTGTTAAGACATCAGTGCCCAGCTAGGCCCCCATCTCTGCTGATCCTCCCATTCTAGAAGGACCAAGGCAACAATGCTAGCTAACCCAGTAGCCTGGCAGGTCTGAGAAGATGCAACATGCCACTCCTGGATACAATGATCCTTTCTTTGCTGTCACTCTGGTACTGGCAGTGGCTTTGTCTCTCCGGTGTTTTCTCTCTAACCTAAAACAGTTGTTTCTTGATGGAGGGGGAAAGTA